CATTGAAAGGCAAACGTAAGGCGAGAAACAAGCGTCAATATATAAACTGAGCAATGATTTATGAAAGGAGGATTTCGTACCCACCAAAGCGAAATTGCTAGCATTTTTGTCTAGTTATGTAATTGTGTGCCAAACAGCTGTTATGGTCAAGCTATAAAAGTGTAACCATTGATAACGAGGTGGTGTATTTGGAATGAATTTTTCTTTTTTCTCTTTTTATGTTCAATATATTTGCAGATTTGATTAAATTGGAATTCATATCTAAAATTTTTATATTTTGGAATAAAACACTCCCTAATAAAAATGACTTCATATCTAAAACTGGAAACTCAAGACTTCATTCCAATACAATACAATCATTGTTGATGGAATAGAATTGCTTATGGAACTCGAAATCATGGAGTAGAGTGCTAAAAAATGAGAGCTATAACTCATTGCACAACAGGTTGACATGACACGTTTGGGATAGGGATAGGTAGGTATGGGGTAAGGGCTCCACGAAAGTAGCATTTTAAGAAGAAGCAAACAATGAAATGAATATCACCACTCATAATGATAATGGTTCCATATTGCATAAGCAACCATAACAGAATTTTATGTTCCCCACCTTAATGCTTGCAAGCTTGCACCAACTATATATATAATATTAAAGACTACGAGACAATTTAGTGCACTAAATTCTCACCATGTTTCGAGTTTGAAGAAATGTTGGAACATATTTGATCTTATAAGAGGTTATTTTCGTGATCTTTTAATCATACCACGATAAATTTAGACTCCCCTTTCATGTAATATTGTAAGCTGCTACATAGAACAATAGGCATGCCTATGAAGTTGATGAGTAAAGAATTTCATGTTAAACATTTATTTGTAAAAAAAAGTATTATATTGGTTCTTTTTATGCTACTAGGCATGAATGTGTGCTGTTTTATCTTAGGTCAAATAAAAATAGTTTGGCTCAAACAAGGAATCCTCTGTTATCTGATCATTTGCTTCCTATTTGCCGAATCAATGTTCAAGTGGATCCATAATATTGATTCCCTAGTTTTATGGGGAGTCTCAGAGTCGCTTGTTATAATACTCTCTTTTTTTAAAATAAATAATCCGAAACTGAGAATTAAATTTTGGTAAAACTTAAGAGTTACAATTGTCTCTTACTTACTTACTGTGGGTTCCTTTGGACATTTTGAAAATATATGCAGTCTATTCAGTTCATTTTTTGTCATCATTTAAAATTAAAGAGTATATCTATTCAAAAGGTGAAAGGGTATTATTTTTCAAATAAAAAAGGTTAAAGAAATTACGTGGAATTTATTAAAAGCTACTCCATGTGTTACAATCCAAAAATATTAAAGGCCAATTTTAATCTTTTGATTTTCCACTATTGGTTCAAGATTAAGGGGTTCTTTTCCCCATTTAAAAGATGAAGAAGGATTGTTTGATTAAGAGGATTCTGTGGATTTATTCGCCAATATCTACCAGTAAAATTTTTGTTCTAAAGAATATTATTGCTATGCTGTAATATTAATGATCCTCGGGGGCGGATCTAGAGGGTGGGTTGCGGCATTATGAAAATTCATTTGTCTTGATCTTGTGTGTTAATGTTATTATTATAATATCAACTTGAGGTTGATGCGAGAATCATAAATTTAAACAAGCGCTAAAGAAAGGAGTGTGATCTCTCCTAAAAAAAAAAAGAATTGACCTCGAGCCAGTACTACTCATTCTCCTTTTTCCGTTCCTGATCCAAAATCCTAAATTAGTCTCTACACTTTTATCCAATGAATGATACTTACGGCATTCGCAGAAAAATAAGACCGCAAAATTACATTCTAAGCTGCAATGGAAGTGTTTAATATTAGTAATTCCAAAATTGTCAGTGCATGAATTAACCTCGAATTTGATGAATCAGTTTCCAAGAAGGAACGTCCATTAGATTCTGTTAAATGCAAGCTTCCCTGCACCTAAGCTACGCGTCAAGTTTGTTTAATTATACAGATCTATTAATTATTGCAGATTAATTCTAAACCTTAAAAAAATATAATGAGCTGATACCTTGGTTTGGTTGCATCCCCTCTTCTAGGAAGTTGACTTAAGTTTTGTACTCTTTTGTTCGATTTCTAATCAATCGAATAAAGAAAGGAAATGCTACAAATTATGGGAACTCCTTAATCATCAATATTTGTTTGTTTATTTTTTGTTTTAATACCTCCACCGTCTACTAATACTAGTACTTTACTACTACTTTATATANATGATCGAGTTGATCCAAAATTGTTCTTGTGGCACTTTCAGAAACAAATTATTTATGTTTGTTTGGTTATGGTTCCAGCTAGATATCTTTGTCTTTGTCTGTCTCAAAACCAAGCATGATCATCATCAACCAAAATTGACATGTGTTTCTTGGTATTTTTGTTGTGGGGATCAGGGATGACGGTAGTGGAACTAAAATTTTCACCAAGAAAGTTTAAAAATATAAGAAAATAATTATGCGAAAAAGTTAAAGAAATTCAATATTTAATATTTATAATAAAAAAATAATAATCTTATATACATAGTGTAATTTTCAGCGATTAGGATTTGAACCCCTTTCCGGGCATCTAGCTCCGACCTGTGGCTAGGACTATAATTAATCAGAGGAGAGGTGGTTGAGAGGAGAGGTGGTTGAGGGAATTTAGTAATGAACTCATTCC